AGGAGTTTTAGGTGTCAAAACATTTTTTAGAGTTTAGAATTTTAAGATATAGGTTTTTATAAATCTATAATTAGTGACATTTTTGTAAATGAACACCCCTAAGTGGTATTCTTACAAATGTACACACAAAAAGTGACATTTTTGTAATTGCCCCATATTTTTTCAGACTTTTTTTCTAGTTAAAAAAATAATAATTGAGTTTATAAATATTTTCACCGAGTTTTTGGGTGTGTTTTTTCTTCTTTTAACTCATTTCTAATAAATAAATCTATAAAATAAAAAAGTAGAACTATCTGAAAAAATGAGAAATACAAACCCGTTTAAGACATAAATTATATGAAGTCGTTAAATAACAAGATAATATAAACTTCATGAATGTCCAATACTGTAAGGAAATGCTTTTTTTTTGTTGACAAAAAATGCTTTTTTAATATTTAAAATTTATATACAATTTAAAATAATTTCTTTTTATAATTTTAGATAAAAAAATATTGGAAATATAAATCTTAACTCCCCCAATTCCTAGCTAATTATATTCTATTTTTTATGTCACAGTTTTTATTTATATCCTCTATATATTAAAAGAGAATCATTTTTAGATTAATTTGTTTTGGTGTCAAATTCTCAATTTTTTAAATTTTTTAATTAAAAATGAAATCATATTATTAATTATCTACTATACTACTACCCAAACACTCTTCAATCCAATTAATTATCTACTATCTTATTATCCAAACACTAGACAATCACACAATCTTTCCAACCAAACATCACTAGAATTTTTTTTTTTTTAAACGAAAATAAAAGAAAGTTTACTATAAATATTCACTTACTCTTATAATTATCTTAAAATTATAAATTTTAATTCATATTTGCAATCTTTTATTTTATAATAAACCATATTTTTGAAAATTATGATATTAAATAAATATATTTTATTAATAAGTGATATATATTGATTAAGAACTAAAAATTTGTTGTTGTCAATTATTTTACGGGTAAAATACATTTCTATACAAAATAATTGTAAAATTCATATATATAAACGAATCTTAGATTCCGTATAATAATTTTTACAATAACTATAAATATTTTTTAAACTAAAATTATATTGATTTTACTAACATATCACATTGTTCCGCGTATAACGTGGCTAACTCGCTAGGTGTGTATAGTAAAAACAATTTTGGAAAAAAAGGAAAGAGTGACGTCACTAGAAAAAAGAAAAAGGAAAAAAGCTTAGAAAACCCGAAAATGAAGATATGGGCCGCGTTTTCATTTAAGCCCAGTTAAATCAAATGTTAAACCGACTTTCTTTTTTAATAACGGTCATGAAAACTATATTAGTCGTAGCGATGAAAGCTTCTCTGGGAAATTCTCATAATTTCAATTTTCTTTCTTTCGCTCTCGTTCTCTTCTTCTTTGGAGCGATTTTTAGTTTCTTTCTCCGAAGACAATCATAATTTGTTCTTTTGAATTACTTAGGGTTTCTATCGATTTTGTTTAGTTCACAACGAAGCCCCTCTTTTGAATCTGTTTTTTCTTCGGGTTTCGTTTGATCTTCTTGATAGTGTTTTTTTTTTTTTAATTTCAAACCTACTTTTTCCCAGATTTACAAGTTCGATTCGTTATTTTTTGGCAAGCAAAATCCAAAACCCCCCTTCGAAACGGTTTTCAATTTCAAAATTCAAAGTTTTGTTTCTGATTTTACCGTTTCTTGTGAGAAATCTAGGGTTTCTGCAAATCAAAAGCCCTCAATTTGATTTGTGTTTTCTTTGTTTTGCAATTTTGGAGGGCTTTTACCTTCGTGATTGTATTTTTCTTAAATTCGAAACCTTTTTTTTTCTTACTCAAATTCAGAGTTTCGGTTTAATTTTTTTATTTCGCAAATCCAGAAACCCTCTTTTGTTTGTCGTGTTCTTGCATCTTAGGGTTTCTAATTTCAACAATGTGTTTCTCTTGTAAGATTTTACGTTTATTGTTACTTCTTAGGGTTTGCGATTTCACGCTTGTTTAAAGTTTTCAGTTTTCTTTAAACCCAAAAGAAAGGGACTCAACATTACATGATTGTTGTATGTCCGGTTTCTAACTTGGGAAAATTGTCCCGTATTGTCCGATGTTGCCTAAGGAAAAGAACCAAGCCTAAAGCGGAGAGATATGTTCTTAAGTAAGGCTTGTCAAATTATGATCCAAGATTGGAGAATTCAGTCTCTAGGATCAAACTGCTGGGCTGGGACAGCATCATATTAACTTCAATTTCTGCATTGATCCATCTTTATGAGGTCTTGTTTAATCAATGTCCCGAGGCTGGAAAATTCAATACTCTCTGCTTTCAAAATCAATATCTCGCTGAGCTGGGAATGCTTGATATGATATTCAATAAGCTGCTTCTTGATGGAGAATAAGTACCTTTTCATAAGGCGTTTTGGAGATTGGAAAACTCAATTGTTCATTTAAAGAAAAGCTTGTTGTGCTGGGACAACAAGATGATATTCAAAAATCTGCAAATTCCTTGGTCGATAGATTGAAAAACTCAAAATTGTTCATTTAAAGAGAACTTGTTGTGCTGGGACAACATTATGTTTGTTCAATATTCTGCATATACGGAGGAAAATTGTCCTGTACTGTCCGATGTTGCCTAAGCAACAGAAGCAAGCCTAAAGCGGAGATATATGTTCTTAAAGTAAGGCTTGCCAAAATATGCTTAAAGATTGGAGAATTCAGTCTCTGGGATCAATCTATATTCAACATTCTGTATATAAACCTTCAAATTCTGCATCGATCCGTCTTTAATAAGGCTTGATTACTCGATTTTATGAGACTGAAAAATTCAATACTCTGCTTAACTCAATCCCTCGATGACCTGGGACAGCTTGATATGATATTCAAATTCTGATTCTTAGTGGAGAATAAGAACCTTTAATAAGGCTTGGTTGAGATTGAAAAACTCAATTGCTCGTATAAAGAGAGCTTTGTTGTGCTGGGACAGCAAGATGATATTCAACATTCTGCATATTCAGTCCTTTAAATAAGGCTTGGTCGAGATTGAAAAACGCAGTTGTTCGTTTAAAGAGAGTTTGTTGGGCAGGGACAACATTATCTTAGTTCAATATTCTGCATATATGGGGAAATTGTCCTTTTAAGAAGATTGGTCTAATGATCTGCTAAAACCCTTATCTACCAGGGCTGGGAGTAGGACAAGCATGGTAATATTCAGTTCTGCATATAGATGGAGAGTAAATGTTCTTTAGAACCTTGTCTAATGATGTCCTAATGGGAAATTCAAATGTCTGCTTAACAGTCTAATAATCTATGTATCTTGCTAGGCTGGAAAAGCAACATAGATGGAGGAAAAAATGTTCTTTAGTATGAGCAGATACAATACAACATCAATATAAGTTTCTGCAAAATTTATAGAGCTTGTTAAGCTGGGACAGTATGGTAAACTGTTCAGTCTTGTGCATATTAATGGGGAGTAAATCTGCATAAGGCTCATTAAAAAAAAAAACAAAAAGGGACAACATGCATGCATATAGATGGAGAGTCAATGTTCGTTCGTTTAATGAGATCTTGTGACAACAAGATGATATTCAATATTCTGCATATATGGGGAAAAAAAATTCCTTTGACAAGGCTTGTCTAATGATGTTCTAGAGATTTGGAAAAATTCAATCGTCTGCTTAAAGTCTATATTCAATATTCTGCAGCAATATTAATCGGAGGAATAATGTCCTTACGTAAAGATTATGTAGTAATGTCCGTTTCGAAAATTCAATTTTCTGCTTGTTGGACTGTTAAGTCTGGTCCAATACGACAATATTCAGTACTCTGCTTGTTGCACTGATAGTTTGATACAACATGACAAATTGTGTCATTGACAATATTTAATATAAGTTGGGACAGTATGGTAAACTATTCAGTCTTTTGCTCATAAAAAGAAAAAAGAAAAAAGGAACAACGAGCTGCTCGGTGTTGTCCGAAGAGTTCTTAAATTCAACTTTCTGCGTAAAGTATATCTCGCTGGGGCTGGGACAGCTTGATACACTCTATTCAATCTTCTCCATGATAAACTCAATCTCGTTGGGGTTGGAACAACATGATATATAAGCTCAAGAGTTTGCTGAGTTAGGAACAATACTTCAACGTTCTGCATATCGATGAGAAAAATCAATCCATCTCTCTAATGAAGCTTGTCGAAAAATGCCCTAACAATGGTAATTAATCGTCTGCTTTCATATCTTGATGGGCTAGACATTATGATCAATATATTCTGCGTAAGCTTATTGAGCTAGGAAAACATTATATAAACAGTTTTCTTCTGCTTAGATTCGCTGTTGATAAGGCTTGTCGAATTATGTAACTAAGAAATTCAATATCTTCTGCAATAAACTTATACCTTGTTGAGCTGGAACAACATGGTAGATTATTCAATGTTCTGCATAGTGATGGGGATAAATGTTTCCTTAATAATAAGGTCTGTCTAAAGACATGCCAAAATTGAGATAGTCAATTCTCTGCTTCAACTCTATATTTTGCTGGTCCATGACAGCATAATG